TCAGCTGACGAGGCCTTTTTGGCTGCACCCATCCTCTCTGCTCCGTGCAGGCACTCGCCACTGCACTTTGGTTGCCCACATCCTCCCTCCCTCCCTCCCTCCCTCCGTCTTTGTTTTTCAGTTTCTCCTGCTCTTTAGCTCGTCTGCAAGTTTGACAAGTCTGTGGGTGTGGATGGTGCGATGTGGCTGCACGTTGGCCTTTTAAGCAAGAGACGTTGATCTGTACGAAGTGTGAAACCAATGATTAAAATATGTGAAGTGTTGCTGTAATATTTCATGTTAAACGTGACCTGTTTAACGTGAAATATTACAGCATGATTTATGCAATTGCTGTTGGCTTGTGTGGTGCTTTGGCTCTACTGAGGAGATGTGAGAAGTAAAATCATGAAAGAGAGCTCCACGTTGCTAGCCACATGTTTTTGATGGTGCCTTCAGGTGACAGCAGACCATATGTGGACTTGGGATGGCAAAGCTGCGCACCTCCATTGTGCAACCATGGCTGCTGCTTAAAGCAGAATCTGCTGCGTTTTAGGTCATTTGCTACACAGAGAGAAGGATTATGGGTATGCACTTGATGCAGATGCGCTCTTGCAGTCCTACAAAAAAGCAATCTCCTGTAGACTGTCAGGAAAGGTGCTGTAAATTGCCTAAGAAGTGAGCTTAGACAGAAAGGGACAGACGGTGAAGTTTATCAGATGGGAAGGAGTAAAAAAAAAAAACTAACCAGTGACCAAAAAAGCCAACTGTGGCTGCAGTGGACAGTTTTCACTTCAATACAAAACATTTCTTCCTGTGTTACGAGTTCGATCTACTCCGCGGCAGGGGCTAAGCTAAGTAACAGCAGAACCCAGAAGAGTAGCCCCCCCCAAACAAGTTATTCCGTATAATTCTGACACTGCCCCCTGGTGTCAGTACACAGTTAAAACATGAAAGCAGGTCTGCAGCTTGAGGTGCAACTTATCATCCAGCTAAGTACACAGTATCACAGATCGTAGTTGGTCCGCCCTCTAGCACTATGCCATTTAAGTGCAGCTAATGATTTGTGCAATGATGGAAAAATAACAGCGAATTACCACTGAAGAAGCAGAAGCTGTGTGATGTCTGCGCTGCCTGCTTTTACAGTTCTGGGTTGCTGGAATTTATTATCTTGTGCTGTGAATACTGTGTGAAATATTTTCTCATGAGATGTTTTATCACACTTGTGACGTGCATCTGGAAACAAATGGCATATGTAATGGTCTCTAATTGTGTCTGGCTTGCACTGAAGGCAAAGAAACCACGAAGTATTATAAGAAATGCAAATTTTGAAAATGGCCTCAATCTGTAATTAATGATTGAGTCATTATTGCTTTAAGTACATAAAGAAACTGTACACAAGGTTCTATAGCTTTCCCTTCATTTTGCATATATGATCATATGACAGCTTTAGACCAAACCCTAAAAATACTTAATAAAATGCATAT